AACCCACTGGGCCAGAACCTTTGCTGAACGCGTGGCACTAGTCCGGGCACCCGAAATTCTCTCCACCGTCAACTTTCTCCTCACCACGGGCCAGCGCTTTATCCATATCCATTCTATTTTACAAAGCAAAGCAGCCCGGGACTTTGGGTGCCCGAACACCAGAGAGGAATGTTTGAGGTTTCTAGACTTTAAAATGAACACTTCACCCTGTCCCTTCTCTGGGCCCCTCGTGCCCTCCAGGGCTCCTCCGGAAAGGGAACTAGAGGCACTGAAGAGACTGACGCTGCCTCTTCCTTGACAACCTCAAATTAAATTAGGCTTCAGCCTCTGAGTGTGAGTGTGTATGTGTGTGTGTGTGTGTGTGTGTGTGTGTGTGTTAAACGGCACAGCCCCCACTGGGGAGAATCTCGGATTTTAAAAATGGTAGCAATTGCCCTTGAATGGCAGCCAGCCCAGCTAGACAGCCCAAAAGACTAGAAACATTTTGTAGGTGAAATGGCCACTTTTTCCACGCTGGAGAGTCCATAAAACTTCCTGGCGCAGCAGCTATTGGGGCTCATTGAATAATTCATCCCTCATTGCAAGCCCATAATGTCTATTCTCGGCCCTTTGTGGGGCTGTTTTCTCTTCTTTTCTCCTTGAATTATAAAAAGGTTGCCTTCCTTTGTTCACATCAAGCTGCTCCGAGCTGGAGCTTTGTCTGGGCCGAGCTAAAGTGTGAGTTTCAATGGACTCTCCAGGCTTTGTCTCCCAAGTTCATCTCCAAGTGTAGATTGTGTAGAGAAGGCCTTCTTTGTAAAAGCTGGAAAAGTTGTACAAATGTTTGACCAGCTCATTTGGGCCGTTTTGTCTCCTGCGCCTCAGTTGCCTGTGCTGCAGAGAGGCCGATCTGCCCTGCCGAGGCCTCGAGCAACAAGTAGCAAAGCCTGAGACTGGAGCCTCTCTGACTGCTCCAGGCTCTTCTCCTGGCTGCCTGCAGGAACCTGTGTGGCTTGGAGGTGTCTGATTCCTTGCCTTCCTCCCTCCCCAGCATCTCTGAGCTGCAGTGAGGTGTGAGATAAAAGCCAAGGTATCTTTTCAAGCACCTGGGCATAAATGAACCCCTCTGAAAAGGGGCTTAGACTGAGTCCACGTCAGCTTCCTGCTGGAAAGGGAGGAGAGCGTGAGTATATGTCATCTCCCTACCCGACCTGCTGTGGTTTGGTCTGTCTTTTTCTTGAGTGTGTGTGTGCACACCAGAGCAGCTATATCTCCAAAATCAGGCATCTGGATTCGTCACATCCAAATCTAAGCGTTCCTTCGAAGTTAGGTCTATATTTTGCATGGACTTGAGAAGCGGCTGCTCTGTAGGGCCAGTGGCCCATCATCTCTAGGTTGTGCATTAAAGGTAAAAGCATCAACTAGTTTCTAGACTCACAGTCTGGTGAGAGTGCAGCCCTGGCTAGTCACAGAGCAAGCATGCTCTAGGGCCATCTGGAGAACCTCTCCAGGGCACTCCAAAACTCAGCTCAGCTCAGAAATTCTAGCCCCAGATGAAGGAGCTCTAGGTTCCAGTTGGGCACCAAAGCATCCTAACCATTCACACGGTTGAAGAGGTGCAACTATCCGCCAGGCCAAAGTTGCCTAGACACAATGCCCTCTCTCCCGCTGCTGCTGCTGCTGCAGTAATCCATTCCTGGTTAAAATCTAATGACATACACTGCTGTTTCTTTCTTTATGTCTGAGTACCTTTAAAGTTGGAAGAAGACTTGCAGTAGGTAGAGGGGAAGCAGGCCGCACTTCTGGCCCCCTGAGGGAAGATTTTTCTCAGTGCTGACAGGCCACAGACAACAAAGAGTGTGTGGTCTGCACCCTGGGGGCAGAGGGTGCCAGCACTAGGAGCCAAAAACCCAGATTTCTTTGATTTGTAACCCAGAGCTTGGGCATGCTTTGATTCCCAGACACACACAGGTTAAACCTCATCATATTTGAAAGACAATTTAAAAGAAATCCGAAACTGCCAACTTACACACACACACACACACACACACACGCACACACATACACACACACACAGGCATTTACGTGTGTACCAACTTGGGAGACCCAATGCGCAAAGAAGTTCTCTCTCTCTTTCTCTTCTTGGATGCGGGAAACTAGAGACAAGGGCCTTTCTCCTGAGGGTGCAAAAGCGACTTCAATCTCTGGAGGCACAAGTACCCTCTACCTTCGGCCCCTCAATGGAGATACCTAGTCCCCAGTACCTGAAGACAACAGGTGTGTCCCCTCATCTAGAGTACAGTTCACAATTTTAGGTCCCCAAGAGCTGGAAGTGGTGCAGAAGGAAGATGCGCAAAATAGAAAAATTAAGCAGAAGAGAAAAAAAATTGGTTTGACTTGCGCGTGTCTCTCTGGTCTTTCACTTGAATGCCCTCCCCCCC